AAACCTTTATACCGGCTGATTAACTACCATGCAATAAAAAGTAACTACGGTTAGCATGACGTCATTTTCTCCAACGATTTCGCAACGATATACCCATCCTATTTTATAAATTTTATTTGATGTTTTTTTAATTTGGTCACAATTATCATCATATCATCATCATCGATATCGCAATGAAATCAAATTGAAAATTTTTCAAATTTTTGAAAAAAGTATTTCTTGATTTTATGGTACTACTATGGATAAGATATTGTTTGATACTACACGGATAAGATACTGTTTGATACTTATAACTAGTGATTGAATTATTTTAGATTAGGTAATCACAAAATCCACCTTAAATTATTTTAAAAGTTAATGTAAACCTTAACTGGTGCTTAATTTCAAAGTTTAATAGTAGCAAAAAATAGTGCAACCGCATGCGGCAGACGATTTCATATTTCATTTTTTAAAATGGTTTTTAATTAGTTTTATGATTCTTATCTGAAGTGTTAGGTCAGTTGCTATTTTACTTTTTACTTTCATTTTAATCAAATTTTATGACCACTAGCATAGGCATTGCATATACATATAGATAGATAGATAAAAGAATTATTTATAGATATAATTATAATTATTAATAATTAGAATATATTTTGTATTATACTAAATATATGTATGTATTATATATAATATACGTATGCCGTATATTACAATTATACCCTGACTACAATACCACATCCCACATGAGACTCTCTGGAAAAGAATAAGTTATTGATAAATTTAATAAATTGTTATTCATTTAGTTTAGTTTTTTTTAGTCAGATTCTATCTAGAATAGATGTTGTAAATGTAAATCTATTCTTGAATGTTCAAATTCAAAAATTAGTATTAGGAATTTATTGAATTAAAAATCAATTCATTAACATTCTTAAAGTTAGCAGAGATGAGTTTATCAAAGTTTGGAGATGCAGCAAGTCGGCTGAAGATCACAAAAACTGGTGTTGTCTGTGGAGTTGTCGGACTTTCATTGGCCGGATGTCTTCTGCACAAATCCGGAGTTGATGTTAAGAAGATTATCTATCAGGTGGTCGCTGTCAATTCAAAACCAATCACAACCAGTAACAAATCAAACCAGAGCTCATCAAGCTTGGCAGACACAACTCAGCAAACACAGATAAACCAAAAAACTAAAAATATCAATAAACGTTTTTACACCCAATTGAAAAAATTACTGAAGATTGTTATACCCAGCCTCCAATCAAAAGAATTTTTTGTTCTTATCTGCCATACTCTTACACTAGTGTTGAGAACATACTTGTCTGTTGTGGTAGCTCGACTTGATGGCTACATTGTTCGTTCCATAGTTAGAAAAGATGGTGGCCAGTTTGCCATGTCACTAATCAGGTGGCTGCTGATTGCTGTTCCTGCAACTTTTGTCAACAGTCTCATTCGCTTCCTGGAAAGAAAGGTGGCCCTGATGTTTAGAACGAGATTGGTCATGTATGCGTATGCACTCTATTTCAAAGATCAAACTTATTACAGGCTGGTATAATTGTCTCACATGATGGCAGTGATGAATGCATTTGTGGTTTTGACGATAGCAGTTTTAATGATTCATTTGTTCATCACTCTCATCACCCTTATTGAGTCATCTCCATCCGACACTAACCACCACAAAATCAGGGTGAGCAATTTAGACAGTCGACTGACAAATGTGGATCAGAGGCTGACGGACGACATCACATCATTCACTTCATCACTGGCACATCTCTACTCACACCTCACCAAACCGATTTTGGATGTTGTTGTCATGTGCTTAACTCTCTACCACACTGCTAAACAAGTTGGGGCCAACATTGGGTTTGATGCTGTTATTGTTTTGTCTTTATTGCTTTAATTCCTTTATTATTTTAACTTGACCAACAAATTAAATTTAGACTGACGAAATTAATTAATTAATTAATTAATGATTGTCACATAAGCGCATCAACGTTGCTGGGCGGCACAGTCTTGTATGCAACTGCATTCGTCCTCAGAAAGATTTCACCAAAGTTTGGTCATTTGGTTGGAGTTGAAGCAGATAAGAAAGGTAGATGAATGGAGGGATGGTGAATAAATGAATGAATACAAGAATAAATGAGCGAATGGATGAATGAACAAATAAATGAATGAGTGAGCTGATGGATGTACTGATGAATGAATATACATTGAAAAATAGGATTGTTGAGGTCTGCCCATTCACGAATCATCACAAATGCTGAAGAGATTGCATTCTATTCTGGTCACAAGGTTCATTCATTCATTCATTCATTCATTGCTTTATTCATTTACACTTACGCTGTCATATATACATACAAACTCTACATACACTCATACAAACAAACAAACATAAAAACATACACGCATACAAACAGCCTGAAGAGAAGCAGTTGAAAGGATCATACAATGAACTTCTGAAGCAAATGAATGTTATCTGCTGGAAGAAGTCTGCATTCCTCCATTATTATCAATGAATAAGAATAATATTTAAAAAATATATTTAAAACAATAATGAATAATGACCTGGTTATGACATTAAACTGACCCTCACTGCCTTGTGAGTGATGTTGGTTCATCAAAGGCTAGGCCCACCGCTTATAACTGTGGTTGCGTAAGGAAGGGCGTCCTGCGTAAAAATTAGCCAAATAAATTACTTATGATGGAATGGCGTCGAGGGGTATTTCGGTTTCATCATAGGTAGCCAAACGGCAACCCCGATCTCGGGGAAAATGTCGTCTAAACGTGTGTTGTTGTAATAATGACGTATTGAAAACAATAATGACTCATGCGCTAACAAGAGAGCAACATCAACAACAGCAACAAAACCATCACGAATGCAACAAGCAGATTGTGGTATGTACAGATGGAGCAGTTCCTCATGAAATATCTCTGGAGTGCTTGCGGCCTACTCATGATCACCATCCCCATCATCAACGCCAACGAACATATTGGTGTCAAAACCGATGGTCAGATAATGATGACGAGGATCTCGATGATGATGGTGATGATGAGGAGAATCTCGATGATGATGATGATGATGTTGTTGGTGGTGGTGGTGCTGGTGAATTTAAAATTTGATACTCTGTATGAAAATTATTCTCTTGTGTTGCTCTAGGGAAAGTTTTTTCAGACGAGTCGATAGCTGAGAAGGAAGACAGCGTGAGTAACAGGACCCAACTCTTCACTACATCTCGTTCACTGCTACTCTCATTGGCGGATGCTTTCGAAAGAATGATGTCGTCATATAAAGAGGTTCATCTGGTTGGACAGGAGATATGATGGACGTGTTTGATTGGTTGATATCTGTGAGGATTTTGTTTGATTGGCTGAATTGTACGCTGCTTTTATTTAATAATTTAATTTTAGGTAATAAGCAGGCACAGATTATCACACACACGCACGCACATACATACACGCACGCACACACGCACGCACGCTACAAACTACCAGATCACAGAACTGGCAGGATATACGCACAGAGTTGCATACATGTTTGAAGTATTTGAAGATGTGAATAAGGGGAGATATGTTGTTGGCTCCTCCAACATGCCACCATCAGCAGCAGCAACATCAATGATTGTTGCCCCAACATCTCAACAGGCCCTCAACAATGCTGCCAACAAATCCCAACAACATCATCAACAACAACAACACAAAGCCATCAACAAATCATGCTTTATTGGAGTTGATTATAATAGAAGAGGTTACTACTTTTTATCCCTTCATTTTGCCGCTCTTTCATTCATTTTAATTTTCATCCCATCTTATCGTCGTCATCCTCGCCATCACACAGGACTCATCTTAGAAACCGACCACAACATTTCATTGGAGGATGTTGCCATTGTCACTCCGACTGGAGATGTCGTTGTTAGGGGTCTGTCCTTCAAGGTGGTCAGCGGATGATGATGTGATGTGATGCGATGTGGTGATGAGAATGAAGATGACAATAACTTATTCAGCTAGGAACCTGACTGCAATACACAACAAACAACAGACACAAGTTCACACAACAACAACACAACACAACAACACACATGTAGTTGGAATCGAACATGCACCTCTTGATAACTGGCCCAAATGGATGTGGCAAGAGTTCGTTGTTTCGAATTCTCAGTGGGCTTTGGCCGGTTTACGAGGGTCTCGTGTGCAAGCCCCCACCCAGAACCATGTTCTATATTCCTCAGAGGTAGGTTGGTCTTCTGTCATCAATGATTGCCAGAGCTACAAAAATTCTTACAGCAACTTAGTCACCATTGCAAATACAAACAAACAACAACATCACCAACAAGAATCATTACAGCCACACAGCCATCACTGCAAACACAAGCAACAACGTCGCCAACAACAAGAACAGGCCCTACATGACGAATGGAACACTGAGGGATCAAATAATCTACCCTGATGATGTTGATGATATGACGATGAAGGCAGTGAATGATGGTCACCTCGCCAATATACTCAACTTGGTCAGTCTCTCACATCTTCTCGATAGAAGTGATAGTGAGTTTTTGTTCGTATGGCTCGCACTTCATGTGTGTGTGTGAGTGTGTGTGTTTTTGCCTAATTATCATCATCCTCTTTGCATGCACAAGGATGGGATGCGGTCTGTGATTGGAAGGATGTCTTGTCAGGTGGTGAGAAGCAGAAAATAGGGATGGCTAGAATATTCTATCATAAGTACGTATCTGAGCGCCTGCTTATGACGATATGACGAATGTGATGATGTCCAACTGACCTACCTTTTGATGATGTGACCAACTCCTTCGCTGCAGGCCGCAGTTTGCCTTGCTGGACGAGTGCACAAGCGCCATCTCAATTGATGTTGAGGGGCTAATATATCAGGCTATCAAAGACAGCAACATCACATTACTTACTATCACTCATCGACCATCTCTTTGGTTACCTTAAAAAAAATTCATTTGTTGCAGTTTTAAATTTAATTTATAAAAAGTTGATATGAAAAAGTTTTCAGATGTTTATATTTTTTTATGAGATGTTTCTAAAACTAACAACCAGGAAATTCCACACTGACGTGTTGCAGTTTGATGGCATGGGAGGCTGGAAGTTTGAGAAGTTGGATAACGAAAGCAGGCTGACACTCAATGATGAAAAAGTGAAACTAGAACGTCAACTTTCTGGAATCCCGCAAGCCGAGAAGAGGCTGAGAGAACTGTGTCTTCTGCTTGGTCAGGAGTCAGAAATTCTCAAAGAAAGTGAAAATGCAAGCGAACTGATGAAAAAAAACAATAACGATGATGACGTCGACGATGACGAAGTCGATGAAGATGATTACACTGAAATAGCAAGAGATTCTACACTAGTAAACGAAGATGATGACGATGATGGTGATGACGACGTTGACGATGTTGACGATATTTAATTAAACTTTAAAATTAAAGAACTAAAATGTATTCGTCATTGTTGCAGTATTGTATTTTATTGCATTTGTATAAATGAAACAAACACGGATGACTTATGCAAGTTTGAGGAGTTGAATGACGAAAGCAGGCTGACACTGAATGATGAGAAAGTGGAATTATGACGTTAAGCGTTATAACGAACATTGACGACTTTAATATACATATAATTTATGTAACTATATAATTTTTAGTTTACATATATTGATGACGTACGCAAGTTTAATCGTTAAATGAACACAGACTGACATAGACTAGACATATATATATATATATATACACAAGTGCTAATTTTACCTCACTTACATACATAATCAATCATTCCAACATTTACTCGACTTAATCTGTTACTGCTCGTCTGAAATTTGCCATCGCCAGCTTCGCAAACTCTTTCGCGTTTAAGCCTATTTATTCTTCTCAAAACTACCGCGCAGTTCATATTTTATATGTAACGATTACTCACGCACGCTATCTGTTACTATCTCAACCTATCTGTTTCTTTGAACCTGCAAACATGACAACAATCGAGCATTCATATATATATGTCTGTTTTGTCTTTTAATAGATAAACTAAATTTTTAAACTTCATTTTTAGGCTGAACTTAACTACTGTTTACTTTATTACATAAAATAATGTATTCAAGCGACAAATAAAAGAATACAGGAGCATTACATACAACAATCAACAGCCATGATTTCTAATTTGTTAAACCTTTTGTTTTTCAATTTAAATTTACTTTCAAAGTTTGCTCATTTCCTAATAAGAGTGGTGACTCACTGTGGCTGGCTGGTTTCTTAAACATACATGAGCTTTCGTCTCACAAAGTAAAGTAATTGTACGGGAGCAATTATCAGTAATTTTATAATGCACTTCCAACGCACGCACTTTAGTCATTTCATTAACTTTCATGAATGTACAGGTGCAATAAACAAAAAATTATAACAAATTCTCTATAAGATGAATTGGTAATATATACAGACCGCAAACACGCGTGAAATCAATTTATGATACTAAAAATAAATAAAAGTCAAATGTCAATTTTCGCTAGCAGAGTCTTTTAAATTATATTCAATGCCAAAATTTTTCAATTTTTCGATCCTTTTTTTGTTTTTCAGCTTCAGTTTAGCTTTTGATTTTTTAGCTGCTGATAGTGAAGTTGGCGCTATATTGTGCTTCTTAATGGCAAGCAGGTGGCCGATCGGCTTCTTGAAGGATTGATTGCCTCGTCGAAATGTCAAAGGATGTACTTCTTCTCTGGGAATGTACTTGCCTGATAAAAAATAAAGATTAAAAAGAAATAAGCAGCCTAACATTTACCACACTTTTACTTTAGTATGATCTAAAAATATAACGTTAGCCAATAGTTTAGAATGAAATGAAAACTAACACATGACTCGACGTCTGAACATTAGATAATCCTTCATTGCATCAGACACGATCCTAGCCACCTCATCATTCTCAAACTCCACAAAAGCAGAGCCTTTACTTCTGCCTGTCTAATTTTGATTCATTAATTATTAACTTCTAGTCGCCTGAGTACAGATACCAAATTTATTTTAATCTTCTAAAAATCAGGAAAAGTATGATAAATAAGCAGCAATCCAAATAATGAAAATAAAAGAAGTCAATTTACTTTATTGCTTCTAAGAAGCCTTAACTTTGTGACCTCTCCGAACTGTTCAAAGTATTTTTTCATTTGGGGTTCATAAAAGCCATGGGGAATGTGTCTAACCAAAATCACACCCCTGTTGTCTGGACTTGCAACTTTTTTCATTGATTTGCTTTTACTATTCTGTTTAAAAATTAATTTTAAATTAAAAAAAAACAAACATTGAAAACTGCATTTTACATTTTTAATAGCTAATCATTAAATAATTTTTAAAAATATACACATAAACATAATGTCATAATATAATATCAAGATTTTTATCTTTTCTATTTTTATAAAAAAAAAATCTATAAAATAAGGTTAAGTCAAAAAATAGGAGTTTCTTTTCGACACATAGTCACATAACATATTAAACTAAAACTTACATAATAATTTTACATTTACAACTTACTTTAGAAGAGCTTTTAGTTTAGCACAAACATACTACTCTTACTATACTGTCCACGTGGGTGTTTAGTTACACACTCAAGCGATTTTAGCAGATTTTAAAAAATAAAATAAGATAAATCAAGATTCTACAGAAAAAAAAATTAGTAACCTTTTTACGATGTTTTAATTTTTCTTCTAAATTTTGTTTACGTTCGTTTTTATTATCAACTAAATTGACCTTTTCCTCGCTGGATCCTTCGGAGGCCATTTTGACGCAAAAGTGAGTAAAAGAAATACAGAAAAGAGATGTAATGATGTAGTGAAATAAATTAGTAACAAAGGTTTTGGCGCATTTTAGACACGTTTGACAAAAATCAATTTTTAATTTTAAACCCTTATTTAATTTGAAACCATAACTATTACTATTATTTATTTTTTGAGATGTGTTACTCAACACAAATACATACACACACAATACATTAAGCAACTATACTAGGTAAGTTAGGGAGGTATAATATTAATCGTAGGTTGTATAGATAGAAAACATACCACATTAATGTAGTTGAATAGGTCGGCAGCGTAAGTTTTATCTATTTTTCTATACTTTCTTGCATTTGCATTACACACGCAATACAGAAACAAACGTAATACAAACATATACAAAAGTATACAACCAAATACCGACCGACAAAACATACAAAATTATACAATCAAATACAAACTGCATACATACAGGCACCCGGGCCAATACGCATTGCACATTATTTTCGCATTGCTTGAATTTTTGCTTCTAGAATTTTAGGGGTTGTTCAAATTTTATCTTAATTTTTTGGGTGGTTAACATTTTCATTTGTTCACTATTTATTTATTTATTTGTTTCGATGGGTGTGTGGGTTTTAGAGCTCTATCGACATCTGCCAACGTGTGATAACTGAATACGAACTGACAGACCTCCTCTTGTTATTCCCTTGAGTTGGAGTGTGTTTGCTAGTTATGTTCCTGTTAAAATTAGTTTACTAATGCGAATAACACTTGGAAACGATGAAAACAATTTAAACATTCACTCTAAGTGCATCACGACATATCCATCATAATGGCTTTTTGGACAATTGAATATCTAAGACATAAACACATTATTAATATAGACATGAAACTGACAAAACATTCACAACATTATGTGTTGTGTTCCAATTCCCGAATAAAGTACATTAAAGTAAGATTCCTGCCGACCGAAATTAAAAAAACCATCGGCTTTCTGCTGGCTCACAAAACATTACGGAGATGTCTGCCAGACGAACAACTGTAGACCATGTTCAGCTGCTGTGAGTTGTCAACTTCCATCACGACTATAACTTCGTTCAGTGAAGTTGATCGTCGGCTGAAAAATTATTCATTCATTAAATCGCCTATTGAATGAAGGTCGATATAAAACTTATTACCAAATGTAAACGATTGCGACGACCAATATGACCATGAAGAACAAACCAACTGATGCAACCCCCACGGTCCAACCATTTGCTAGAACCACCTCCTCGTCCGAATATTGTGTTGAGAAGTTGGCTTAAATATTTTTTTGGAGATTTATAAATTAAAACTTTTAACGAACTCTGCCAAATTTAAAATAATATCCAACCTAGTGCATGTAGAAGATTATGATCAAGAAATCTGCTGGAGTCGTCAAACTGACTCCCTGCCCTCCATGCATCATCTTTTACTTTGCTAACTGTTGGTCCTGCACAGGGAACCAGTAGGAAGTGGCGTTGAGGGTTCCTGGCCGAATGATGACTTGCAGGGGCGTGCCCCCTCCTCAGACATGCGCACCCGCCGCTCTGCAGACACGTCGAGTTGGCAGATTCACAATTCATCGAGCATTCTCGGTAGTCGGATGATGGCTTCCAGGACGGCGAGCATCCACCTGTTCAAAATCGTTGCAACATTCATCCTCATGGAAACATCGCCAGCGAGTTATGCGTGTAGCAGAGATTTAACTTGTCTTAAACAGTTGCAACCTTGAACTTGTCGACCTTTCTCGTCTACGCACGTGATGCTCCTTCTAAGCCCCTCCCATCTGCCGACGGACCAATAGAAGCGAGGGCTGCGTTGGCACGTTGTTCTGTCAACGATGCATAATCTGGTCTCCATTGTGACCACACGTCTGCACGCACTGTCGTCATGAACATCATCGCTGTTGGCTGACGGGGGGCCAACCCTCACGACGGCCCTGTACCTGGCCTGTGTGCCGTCTGTCGCAATGTTCAGTCGGTCGTATTTAGTTGCTTGAAAATTTAGTGAATTTGTAATACTAAAAATTGAACCACACATCTTTTCATAGGCTGATTTGACTTAGTGCAAGTCACGTGACAAGAACTCCATGACGACCATCGGCCAACTAGACACTCGGTTGGACAAGGAACGTAACATTCTCTGTAAAGCTTCACGTTCATTTGTTGGTCGATTGATTGAATCATTTTCATTGGTTGTTTGGTTGGCCAATTGAATTTTTTGGAAATAATAGAGTTATCTTCATTTAATTTTGTATTTAGCAATTCATTTATAATTTCGATGTTTAACAGTGGAATTTAATTAAAAATTATGACCATAAATGAAAATGGCAGATGAATTAAATGGATGGCAAACTGACAAAACAAATCAAAGCGATACATCAAATCAAAAAAATTTAAACAACGAATGAGAAATATTTTACTTTCAACCCGTAAGGCAAATGATTAAGAGAGCATAATTGTTGATCAACTTCTTTATAAAACCCCACCCCACCATCACCGCCATCTTCATCATCGTCGGTTTTTAGTTGCAAACATTTGAACTTCAACTTTTGGTGGCCGTAACCGCACGTGTGTTTCTGAATGAGGTCACCATTATTAACGCTCAGTCGTATTATATGCGATGAGTTTGAAATTAAAAGATTGGAAAGGAAAGCACAAGTTCCTTCAATACTGGACACTAACATGCACTGAGCAGGCGGCATAGCTGACTGGCATCCAGCGAAAACATTCCTCGTAACTGCAGACCATCCTCTCGTGCAAATTCAACGGACAGTCACTTCCGCCATTGTCTGACTTCAATAAAATTTCACGGCTCCTGCTTCTGTAACCTTCATGTCATCAATCATTAATGATTACTTAAGTCATTCTTTCATTCGTTCACTCAATCATTCTTTATTTTATTATTAGCTTATGAAGAACTTTGTTAAAAAAACTCAAGTGTCGAGTGTTTAAATAGATTGCAAATACTTGGTTAACGTTCAGCGTTTGAATAGTACTCAAGTAACAAATACATTAGATATTTAAAATGCCGTCTAGTAGAAGTCATTCAAAAATATTTTAAATACAGTGCAGTCTCCAGTCAGTTAAATTTACACTGTTAATTTATGAAGTTTACGTGCTCAATAAACGGATGATAAAATTTTTAATTTTTGTAAAGTATGTAAGGGGATTAAATAGAGTTAATATATTGTTAAAACAAATCGTTGGCCACCGACCAAGGCCACAAGTTTGGGAGCAAGTGGACCAGACCGACCACTGCGACAACACGCAATCGACCGCACATCCAACTCTACATGGCTCTGATTGTTCTGATTCAAAATGATTTGTGAAGTTGCTGCTTCTGCTGCTGCCATGTTGTCTTTCGTGCTGGTGTGGCGTCAGTAAAGATGGTGAATGAGAGGATGATGATGAGAAATGGTGGTGATGGTGGGGGAAGGGCAACAACTTGAACAACAGCAACATCAACAACAACAACACCACCAACAACAACAACACCTACAACAACAACACCTGTCTCTTACAGAACTTCATAGCAACTACTTTTTGAGATTTTGCCACCCTACATTCGGCCACCCTCCACCTTCTCCCAACGCCACACTCGTATTCGTTCGTTACGCCTTCGATGACGTCAGTGAACATGATGCACCGCCCCCACGACGACCAGGCGAGCACGTGTGGCTGGCAGACGAGCTGCTGATGAAGCTGGCACGATCTCATCTCGTGGAGAGCTGGGCAGGGCAAGTTGTTGCTGTTGCGAAGGATCGCTCGATATCGATGTTGTTGCAGTTGTTGAGTGTTGTTGTTGTTGGTGACGTTGTTGTTGTTGTTGCTGTAACCACAATCCTGTTAGAGATGTCATTCCAAATTTTAAAATAAAAATTGATCGTCTGAAGAAACTTGAACTAAATAAATAAAGAAAATCAATGAAAGAATACATTGAATATCAACAACAACACAACAACAACATCAATAACAACAACACAACAACAACCATCAAACACTGTGGACTGGACCAGGCTGACCACTGGCTGACAATACACTGATGGTGACAGGCAATGTTGCATGAGATGGACTGATGAGGTTTCATTCTTTCATCGCACATGCTTTCATTTACTTGCTCACTCGCTCCATCAGAGTTCACTTTTAAACATCTGCAAAATTAAAAACAATCGTTTGTGGAAGAAAATTGATAAAGTATCAAATGTTAATGACAAATCGAACAGCAACGATAATTGAAATATATTCCTATTGGCTGAACCTGACAATCCTCGTTTGGAAGCCCTCACCGCATTGGTCCAGTTTAAACTCCATGGCAGCTGATTGGACGACAGGTGAACAAATGTTCCAATCGTCAGTCCACCACTGATATTGATCACACGACACCTGGCATGGCTGCTTTTCAACTTCCTGATTTCAAATCAAATACAAACATGCTCCATCGTCACCGACATCCTCATACCAGCATCACAACATCACCTCATTTTTTTCCACCACAGGGCAGACCCTTCCCCCGTCCAGCCCCCCTTCATACAGGTGCCTCCTCCTCGTCATTTGGCCGATGCCGCAGCGTTGCTTGGGTTGGCAGGCGGTCCAGGTGGTCCAGTTGCTCATAAAACAATCCCGCTTACATGACATCAAACAAATGTCCACTTTCAAGAGAGAGGTTGCTGCTCGGCCGTTTGTCGCAAGGCGTGGGATGAAGATGGAGGTGATGATGAAGATGAAGATGGAGGTGATGGTAAAGATGAAGATGGAGGTGATGATGAAGATGATGAAGATGGAGGTGATGATGAAGATGATGAAGATGGAGGTGATGATGAAGATGATGATGGAGGTGATGATGAAGATGATGAAGATGGAGGTGATGATGAAGATGATGAAGATGGAGGTGATGCTGTAGTAAGAAATTATATTACTTACATGCATTGCCGCAAGAAGCAGGGTGCATGTTGAGGCCAGTGTGGTTGCAGACCTGAGCACGATAATTACTACCAACACCGCAATATTCTTTTGACGGCATCATCTCTCCCATGCCAGAGGAATGCTTCTTTCCAATTGAATGATTTTGCCAAACGAGGTCATTTAAAATGCAGTCAGCTGATTGGCCGATTGCTTTAACGATCCCGTGCCTGCATAGATTGCAACGTTTTGATTGGATGAAGGAATGGCGTTCGTTGCCACCAATGCATGTGCTTCCGTGATTGGCGGACACGTTGTAGCCTGGTAATGGACAATAAAAATTACTACCTAAACACTGCTCGTTCATTCATTTTCCTTCTTTCTTTCAAGAATATGGAACTATAAATTTTTTCAATTATTATGGATGACGTATAGAAATGAATTTGATTGGTGAAACAACAATCACGTGACCTTCCAGTGTTCTTCTTCTCCACCTAACCCCATTGCATCTCTTGGAACACAGACTCCAAGCTGACCAATGAGAAAAGAGGCACTCCTGTCGGCACGGTACGTAACATTTTTCCAACCAATCAGGCTTGAACTTGTCAATGGCTGAACAGTATTCAACTGGTTTATATTCTTGATTCGTCCAATCATAGCAGAATACATCTTTATGAAAAATAAAATTTAAAGATCAATTATTTGATCTGAATTTTAAACGATTAATAAAATAGGATTCCTCAAAAGAATCATTTAACATATTAGCGAAAATTCTGAAGGCAGGCGGCTGAGCGAACTGTCTGCACTAACTTCTTCTCCTCACAGCCGTTCCACATTTGACCTGGTTTGATGGAAACAGGCACTGACTCCACTCGCCCACCCCCCATTTAAAAATGGTGCACGTCGGAAGGGCACTGCACGGCCTCTGCTCCTGCAAATGAGGACAGTTCACTCCGAAACCAGAGGGGGGGATCAAAATAAACCTCTCCCTTTTTTGATGACCGAATTTCGTTTCGTTTCCTGATAAAAAAAATGTTCTTAAATATTTTATGGTAGAATCATTTAAATGGCTGCGTTAAATATTTTAATAGAGGATGAACGTTCTGAGATGAATATGATGAACATGCACCCACCTACCCACCCACCGTGCAAACACGTGACCGAACATTTGGACCAATGGGAAAAGAGTGTGACGACGCAATCGACATTGGCACATCGTACAACACATTGTCTCCTGCTCGATGGTTTATGTTCAGAGGAACATCTGCGTGTCGGATCATCATTTGGTTAACAAAATGTCTTTCAAAAAATCTTTCCAACAGAATTTGAGAGGTGGTGGTGCAAAATGTTAAATCTAACTTTCTGTTGTGCATTTTTGAGCCGTTGACTTGCACGCATGCGACCTGCCTGTGTTGCATGCCTGCATTCCTGCACGTTCCATCTTCATCTTTCTTCTCCAGCTGGTTGATCGGCGTGCAAACACTCCAATTGCTGGTTTGCCATTGATAAATGGGTGCATCGTGGGCGGGGCACATATCTTTGTCAACGACCAATCGCAAGCTAGTACATTCCATGCCCCCTTTTTTAAGGAACAAAAATTTAGAAAATAAATAACACATATATGAAAAAGAAATTAGCCGGCTAACCAGGAGCTGAGGTCGCCAAAATTTCTTTGTACCTGCTTCTGTGCGTGCTCTGTTTGTAGGTGGAGTCGTAAAAATTTGATGACCAACATTCTGACCAATGAGACCACGAAGATATTATGCAATCTAGGTCACATGGCACAACACAACTTTCCACTTGGCTCGGTCTGGGCAGATTTGAACAGTTGCCTGCTTGAACGACAACCTGCTTGATCATCGTATTCGATTGGATAAGCGTGTTAGTTGCATCCAATTATACACGTGTGCATGCGTGGTTAAAAGATACCAAAGGGAGAATTTCCTCATCACATTAATCATCACCTCATTATGCTACGAGAAATAAGAATAAACTCCACAAACCCCCTTCCTATCGACGCACAGGACTTCAAGACTTCGATCACCAACACCGCAAGTGACGTTCTTCCCGGTGTTTCCACCACTTTCACCGCCACCATCACCACCTTCACCACTGCCAGCATCAACTGCGTATCTGGAACTGATCATGCAAGGACTTCTATTAGATACCATCCAATGAAAGCAGCTGAAATGAGGACAAGATTGTGATTGGGAGAGAGAGGAACATTCCTGGCCCTGATTGGATGCTTGTTGCATGATTGACCGAGTTCTTGTTCGAGTCATCATTGTTGGCGGAGCTAATTTTTTTTAATTTATTAAAATTACGTGTTAATAATAAAAATCACTGCCAACCATCATCTTCATCGTTCATCACCATCTTCCCAAAATTTGAAAGTTCAACTCACAGTTGACCCTGCATGTTGCACCATCGCTACCACCACCACCATCAGCGTCTTCATCGGCGTCGCAACGAGACCAGGGGGACCACTGGCTGAGAATGCAGTTACGCTGGCAAGGCAGGGAGCAGTTGCGGACGTAGAGAGGGGGCATGTGGCGACACCGCCTGTCTTCTACTGGTGTCTTGTCTGCCAGATTGGTTGGTGGTATGTTTCACGTAGACCTCTTTATTATTTTACTGTTTATTTGCCGCACCCGATCCATTCATAGCGGATTATATTATATAATTTAAATGAAGTTCAATGAGCGCGAAATGGGTGGTGGTTGTTGATCGTACCGTCGGTTTGAATGCAAATGATGGTTCTGTTTTGAATGCCGACACAGTTCTTTCTTCTTCTCGCACCAACGTCATGCTGCCCTGACATTGTCCTGACATCATGCTGCACTCCATACAATCCATGATGAGAGGTCCTGGAGGGACTGGCCTCTGCACAAACGGACCAGCTGCCTGCTATCCACTGGTATCTGCAAATCGTTTCAATCATTTTCGCCTTACGTTTCGTTTCAAACGCCGGCACGTCTGAGTGCTGAGTGCTGAGTGCTGCCCGATTCATTGTTGCGAACTACCTTCAGTGCCCTTGCAATCAGTAACTTCTTAATTTCTATTGCGTTACTAGCAAATTGACTAATTATTTCAATTTAAAACACTTTTAAAAAATTTGTGTCATAAATTGTAAGCATCATCGTAAATAATAGAACTATCAATTTTAAAATAATATTTATATGAAAAGTTGAATTAATGTTACTTGTCACAACTGTCGTCATCGTCATCATCATCCTTATCATCATCATCATCCTTATCTTCTTTTTCTTCTTCATAAACTTTTTTATTTTTGTGGCGGTGCTTAAAAAACTTGTTCCCATTCAAGAGCATGAGACTGCCGATGAACTGATCAACACTGTGATAGTTAAATATGTCATCCATTAGGTCATCAGCATCATCGTTACTAGCGTTATTATTATTATTGTTGTTGTTGTTGCGATAGAGTTTGTTGTAGTGGAAGTGATGTTGTTGCAGCAGCATTTTGAAGTAACTCGAGTCCTTATATGTGGACCACGGCCCGAGTACCGCACCACCATCATCGTCGTCGTCTCCATCGTCATCATCCCCTTCTTCATCAATTCCGTCGTCATCTTCATCATTGTTTGAGGCGACTTTCTCGAAATCATCTTGAAAGTTTTATTATCATCCTCATCATAAGCACGTCAATTAGTGGCACAACGTTCACAATAGGTAAAAAATAATAAGCAACCGACCAGCAATGTTTTGCCCCAGCTTCATAGCACAGAACTCAACTCTGGCTGGTTCGACAACATCAAGAGCATTTGTGGCTGGCCTGTTGTTGTTGTTGATGATGTTGTTGATGGTGATGATGTTGATGATGTTGTTGTTGTTGATGATGTTGATGATGTTGTTGTTGTTGATGGTGATGATGTTGATGATGTTGTTGTTGTTGATGGTGATGATGTTGATGATGTTGTTGTTGTTGATGGTGATGATGTTGATGATGTTGTTGTTGTTGATGGTGATGATGTTGATGATGTTGTTGTTGTTGATGGTGATGATGTTGATGATGTTGTTGTTGTTGATGGTGATGATAGTTTTGCAACAACGATGATGATGATGACCTCTATAACCAACTAACCTTCCTTCCCCACCTATGTACTCCACAGTCCGCCATCTTTTGCCTAACTTGTCGTCATGTCTGAGGGCGAAACTGTTTGTTGGTTATGGTGGGGTCGTTTGAGGACGGAGTTGTTAACAACAATACTCAAATATTCTATCGCTAATACCAATGTCGATACCGACTTTAAAAATATTCCAACACCGAAAGTCATATTTGAAAGTGTTGCCGGCTCTACGGATACTTTTGTATTTTTTAAACATTGCGCAGTAGAGGCAAAGTAAATGTTTAGAAAGAGACAGACGTAGGACAGCAAAACTTAACATTCAGTCTCAAAGCTGCCACATAAAAATTTGAAAATGAAATTAATCATTATTGAAAATGGTTGAAACTCAAACGTATTCACATCAAGTTTCAAACCGATACATATCGATTATAGCAATACTTTGATATTAAAAACCTTGTTTGAGAATGATGATGATGGTGATGATGAGGATGATGTAGATGGTGTTGATGGTTGGCTGGGTGAGTGATGACGTCATTATTATTTTTTGGCGGTGCGTCCAGACTGCACGGCGACCAGGGTCCCACCCTGAAGAGGTACTTACGTCTTGCCCCTCGTCTTTTGCCTTCCCCTTCGTTAAAAAGTTCAACATTTGTTTGTTTTATACAAGTGATTACTTTAAGTTATTGAGTGTTTGTTTGGTTGGCAAACTTAACAAACAGGTTGTATGTTGAAATCATTATTCAATAATCATATCTTTACACATAAGAGGTCATTTTAATGTACAATTGATATAGGCAAGACTAAAGAAAATTAGCAAGTTTGACTGACTGCCACAAAACATAAAATTTCTAAACTGTTAACTGAACATCTGAATTTTTAGCAGGTGCAAAATTGTTAATTTGTGATGGTAAGCAAGCATTCATCTCCAAACCTTTGTCGTTGTTGTTGTTGTAGCTGTTGTCGTTGTTATTGTTGCCAATGTTTTTGTTGTTATTATTGTTGTTGTTGTTATTATTGTTGTTGTTGTTATTATTATTATTGTTGTTGTTGGGCGGTCTGCTGCTGATGCCTTTCATTTCCACCATAGCCACCTGGCCACATGACGACGACGACCACGACGATGATGTTAACGATGATGATGACGATGATGATGATGATGATGAAAACTTTGGTAATGATGGTTGTTTTAGCAGTGTTAGTGACGATGACATATAATAAAGTTTCCGCCTCCTAACCAGAGTATCGCATTTCGACAAGAGTTTTTGGGCTCTATCATCGTCATCACCATCATCATCAGTGACATCATCATCATCATCATCATCATCAGTACCACTACTGTGTTTACGCTGGTTATAACTACCACCATATTTAGATTCATCATCATCATCATCGTTGTTATCACCCTCATCACCTTCTTCTTCGTCGTTAGCGCTGTTTGAGCGCTTAGGTTGAGATGAATTAACATCATCGTTCTTCCTTGCTCCAACATTTTCATTACCAGTTTTGTGGTCATCGTCAACATCACCATCTTTCCTGTAATCATCACCACCATCCTCATCACCATCATCATCCTCATCACCACCACCACCATCATCGAGGCACTCCCAGGGTCCAAAATTTCCAACCACACAAACGGTGGAATCGTCGAGAACGCAGGCCCGCTCGTTGATTGGAGGCGGCTTCAAATCACGTGATCGACATTTTTCATCATCACCATCATCACTGTTGTTATTGTTCCTTTCTTTCAGTGACGTCACAGTGATGTAGCTGCTTGGCAGCCATTTTAAATGCAGACGATCGTTCCTGGGAGAGCGCCCATCTCTGCTGGGGCAAGTGAGTCTGCAGGCCACATCACGTGACTGCCGACCAACGATGTTGTTGTCGTCGTTGTTGTTGTTGTCGTTGGTTCCCATGAAAAATGAGTTAAAGGAGTTTGTGCTGGTTGTTGTTGCGGACAGCGGTTGGCATGGTGACCAGGATGAGATGGACCAGCGGAAGTAGGGGGAGTGGGGTTGGATAGGGAGGAGGCTGGAAGTCATCTTCATCGCATCTCCTCCTTTTTCTGCTGCTGCTGCTGTTGGTTCAACGTTGGTTTTCCGTGAGTTCAATTTCTCGTGTTTATATTTCTTCATTCATGTATTTTATGTTGGATGGATTCGTGTTAATGCGGCATTGAATTGCGAGCATAATGTTCGTTCTATCTGTCTACATCGCTTTCGTCATATTTATATTATTGTTAATAATATTAATACAAATAAAAAATAATATAATAATAATAATAATTATTATTATTATTATTAATGATGTTGTCGTCACTATTATCGTATCGGTTATTGTCACTTAATATTTATGGATATTATCGCTCGGCGACATTGTTGAAATGGCGAGGCGGAGAGGTTTGCGCAAACAATGGGAAGCATTTATTTGAAGCTTTTCATCATGGCGCCCAACAATGAACATGCACACCGAGACATTCAGCAGCAACAACAGCAGCAACCACAGCAGCTACAACAACAACAGCAACAGCAACATTAACAGCAACAACAACAACAACATTAACATCAACAACAACAGCATTAGCAGCAACAACAACAGCAACTACAGCAGCAACGACTACAACCACAGCAGCTACAACAACAACAACAACAACGACACGTCAATCGCATACAACAATGAAATACTACGGAATGATAAGATGACGACTAACGAACAATAACGACGATGATGATACAACAGTAACGTACAACAACATCACACAAAACCATCTAAAAATCTGGAAGAACAGTTTGATGTTTATTATTATCAAATTATATCATGTCTAAAAGATTATCATTTATAGATATAATAACATTTTTATCATTTCTAATAAAAATATTTATATTTTAATATTAATAATCACAGACTTTAATGTAAATTTTCTATCAGTTGGGCGAGCGGTTCTCATTGTTTTGTTATTTTCGCCAGAAGTTTTTTGATTTTGTTGTCGCGGCTGTTGTTGTTGCTGTTCATCTTATTATCGTTAACTTGTTGTTTTTTCAAACTCAACTTTTCCATCATTATTATCATCATCATTTTCAATATGGCCAACCAATATCAATTGAATTTTTATTTTTAATTTCAAACCGGGTGTAACTTGGATGACATGGCGGAGGTCATCTGACCATTGCGACCCTGAGATGATCAAAAATACAAAAACAATAACAAACATATTATAATGATGCTTACTGCAGATACAACATCAATAAGCATAGATAAAATAACATCAATAATAGATACATTAACAAAGAACGAAGATATTGAAACTGACCCCTTCCATATCAATATCTTCATCTCATTTTACTGTTTAACTCTTAGATCTTAGTTTATCCGATGTCTTTCTCTTCTCGTGTGACCTTAGCTTATTAAGATTTTTTTTTAATTTCCTGTTGTGACGTCAGCAAAGACGATCACGTGATGCATATCGAGGTGCTCATTAAATGGTGCTTGCATTGTGCTTGGAAAACAAAGAATTCAATAACATCGTCAGAGTTTAATAAGTAACTTTTTACCTGCTGTGCCTGCGTGTGTGTGTGTGCGTGTGCGTCCGTGTGTGTGTGTGTGTTTATACGTGCAAGTTAATTTCCCGATTAGTTTGTTCTTCTGGCCAGCTCCACAGATGCCCTGATCATCACGCCTCAACCCTTCCAATGTTCATCGCAGTCCTCCATAGCACCGACATTACTGGCCCCATCAACTTTTCCGTTGTGCGTGTTTGTCTTTATTGTCATTCCCATATCATCATCATCATCATCATCATCATCATCATCATCATCATCATCATCATCATCATCATCATCATCGTCATCATCATCATCATCATCGTCGTCGTCGTCGTAATGGCCACAAAAGAACAAATGACCGAGTCAGATTTAATTGTCCGACTGTGATTAACAAGGATTAAACGAAGATGCATATGATCTCTCTCTCTCTCTCTCTCTCTCTCTCTCTTTTTCTCTTTCTTTCTCTTTCTCTCTCTTTTTTTCTTTTTGTTTTTCTTCCTCTTTCAGTCTTTTTTTTCCTTCCGTTCTCTCATTCTGAATTTTTCCGTTTGTCATTTTTTCTTAATATTTCTCTCCTTTTTTTCTTATTTATTATTAATTTTTCATTTGCAAATCAATCAGTCGATCGATCGATTCATCCCTTTGTCATTCATTCATTCATTAATTCATTCATTAATTCATTCATTAATTCATTCATTTATTCATTCGTTCGTTCATTCGTTCATTCGTTCGTTCGTTCATTCGTTCATTCATTCATTCATTCATTCATCTGCACGTTCTTCCAGTCATGCCTATATTAGCAAACAGATAGATGAATGACATGCTAAATGCCGCGCTGATTTCATACTGCCTTATCGTATCTCTACTAATAGCAGTTAGTCTGGGATTTAAGGCCACCTAAGACGACGACGACGACGATGATGATGATCGTCGTCATCATCATCATCATTCTTACCATCATTACTATCATCATTGTCATCATTCTCCTGGCCATCATCATCATCATCGCAATTGAAACAGTTTTAAGGAAATTATTGTTTCAAAAATTCATAACACAATCAGCACGAACTTTTGCGGAGTAAGTATGAATCTCTCTCTTTCTCACTCATTTTTTCTTTCCCTCTTTCTCTCTCTTTCTTCCTCTCTTTTTCTCTCTCTCGCTTTCTTTCTTTTTCTCTCTCTCTCTCTCTCTCTAGATGTTTGTGTGTGTGTTTAATTATATATGTACGTGTGTCTAAAATTGTATTTGTATGTGTGAGCGCTACTAATTGCATGCGTCTTTTCGATTATTTGTCAGGTCTAGTAAAACAGAGAACTAAGAATGACATTTGTATGAATCATACTCTGTAACTTTAACCCAACGACAACAACAAACAACATCAACAACAGAAGAACAACAGAAGAACAACAACGACAACAGAGCAACAACAGAACAAGAGACCACTTAGAATTCGTCACGCATCGTACGAATGCACAGGTCCGTGTCCGCATCTGCTAATGAACTCATGAGTGATGATATGTTGATGTGTCTATGTCTGTCTATGTATATGTGTGATGTATCTGTATATGTGTTCTTTTTCCTCTTTCTTTAGCTCTATTTCACTCTCTCTCTCACTTAATATTAATTATTTTCGTAATCCAGATCGTCATATTCATGTTCAAGTTTCCACCAAACGAAAATTTCACCACCCATTCATTTCGCATATCAGAGAAGCTTTGAAACAACAACATCCTCCTCAACATCATCAACAATAACAACGACATCATCGCCAACAACAACAACATCAAAAACGTCACAACAAATTCATTAACAACAACACCAACAACAAAAGTTTTACCTTCATTATTTATTCTTCTAGTGATCAACATTTGACAACAAAATGACGTCACCATTAACAACAACGTACTCGTCATGGTTGTTGTTGTTGTTGTTGTTGTTGTTGTTGTTCACGTGCCTCCTTTGTTGCTAAAATGTTTTCGTTGTTGTTACTGTAGTTTAATTAGCAACGTTTTAAAACTGCGACCTTTCGAGAAGTTTTGAAATTTGATTTTGGAATGGAGATTCTGATTCTGAAAATATATTAAACACGTTGTTAATGTTGTTGTTGTTATTGATGATGTTGATGTGTTTGTTAATGTTGTTGTTGTTGATGATGATGTTGCTGTTAATGTTGTTGTTGATGATGTTGTTGTTGATGTTGTTGTTAATTTTAAATGCCTCATAAATTTTATTAATTTCAATGATTTGTGGCATAAGCGAAACAACACAAAATGATGGAATGATAAATTATCTCTTCACGCTCCACTGCCTAACCGACGTGTCACGTGTTTGTGGGAATGAATGAATGAATGGATGAACGGATTAAAAAAATAATTAAGTTAAAATGGCCGTATTCCATTACAAAATTTGTTAAATTCAATAAAAATGATAAAGATGATGATGATGATGACGACCAATGATGATAATTTAAGAAAAAAAACTAACTTTCCTACTTGCTAGTCGATAACAATTAAATCATTTAATCCACAGCTTCCCATCATCGTCATCATCATGTCAAAATACAATTGCAACAATTAAAATTTTACTATATTTTGTTATTAACGTATTATTTTATTGTTAATATAGATTAGTAATATTTATTTATTAATGTGCAAAATTGATTTTATTAAATTGATGTTGTTGTTGCTGCTGTTGATGTTGTTAATGTTGTTGTTGTTGATGTTGTTGATGTTGAGAATGCTGTTGATGTTGTAGGATAGAACAATTGAAGCAACCACAACATCTGCTAAGGAAGGGGGCGATATTAAAGACATTTAAATTTTCTTCGCTTTCTCTTTGTTTATGTATCTATGTTCTTGTTATTGCAATGTCTACTTCTTTTTATGCCCTATCTCTCCTCTCTCTCTCTCTCTCTCTCTCTCTCTCTCTCTCTTTCTCTCCTTGTTTATATATATATATATAATACGTACATACAAGCGTATGTATATATATATTTATAAATATTATATCAGTTGAGATATTGCATACATTTTATATTAGATTCAATATACATAAAAACCTTTTTTAATCGTCATCATCGTCAGCATCGTCATCAACACCATCATCATCACTACCATCATCATCATCAGCATCTACATCATCGTCGTCGTCGTCATCTTCCTCACGAACGGAGAGCACTTAATAATAAAATTGCGAATGAGTGAGGCAATGCGAGCGGATGAACGTAAAAATCCGATCAACAAAAGTGTGGTGGTGTCGTTCATTCATTCGTTCATTCATTCGTTCATTCATTCGTTCATTCATTCGTTCATTCATTCGTTCATTCATTCGTTCATTCATTCGTTCATTCATTCGTTCATTCATTCGTTCATTCATTCGTTCATTCATTCGTTCATTCATTCGTTCATTCATTCGTTCATTCATTCGTTCATTCATTCGTTCAT